CACACACACTGTCTACCTGGTGTTTTCTGCTTGCCAGCTCCTGCCCAGGAATCTGCTTCCTGGGGCTCACAGCCTAGGGGAGGGGCGCAGGCCCTAAACAACTACTCAGGGCACTGGAGAAATTGTGGGAGCTCTCCTTGAAATGAAAGGAACCCCAGGTTCTGAGGTGGCAGCTGTGATTTCTTTGAGCCTTGTGACATCTGCCACAGACAGCTGTTTTCTTTAAAATATTTGTTTTTTGTGTATGTGTGCTGTGTGCATGTGTGTTGCACTGGTGTGTGCATGAGTGTGCTCACGTATGTGTATATGGTGTCTGGTGTCTTTCTCAATCACTCTCTATCTTATATAATGAGAGAGAATCTGGAACCCTAGGATGTGGTTAGTCCAGCTGGACAGCTTGCGTCCAGGACGCCCACCCTCTCTACTGGGGTTCCAGGCATGTTACCCCCACCTACTGGGCACTTGAGTGGATGCTGGGAATCTGCACCCCAGACCTCAGGCTTGCACAGCAGGTACTTATCTGCTGAGCCATCTCCCAGCCCCCACACTGCTGTTTTAATGGGTGTGCCTCACGTTTCCTGTGACTGCTGTGACAGGCCACTGTACCTTGCTGGCTTAGACACTGGCTGGGGAAACTACTAGTTCAAAATCAGTACCTCTGGCTCAAAGCCCAGTGATTTCTCCTGGGACTCTAAGGAGAAGCTTCTTCCAGAGCTGCTGGCATTCCTTGGCTTGTGGTTACATCACTCTCATCTGCAATGGCTGAACCTTCAATCTTCCTTTCCTCCATGTGTCTCTTGAATCCCCCATTGCCGCTATCCAAGAATACCCATGATGGCCCTGGGGTCACCTAGATGGTCCAGGATGTCTCCCCATCCGTGTCCTCTACACAACCCCACCTTCAAGGGCCCCTGTTCAGAAGGCGACAATCACAGGTTCCAGAGCCTAGACCACAGGCATCTTTTGTGTACAGTTTTCAGCCACCACAACCAGGCACCACCAGTTTCCTCTTGTAGAAGAGGTTAAGTCATGTGACCAGGGTCCCACTGAGAGGATGTGGTACCCCAGACTCAAATGTGTTCTTTCCACATGAGTGGGTGCATGCTGCCAGAGGTTGACATCAGGTGCACCTTCCCCTATAGCTCTCCACCTTATTTTTTGAGACAGTCTCTTGCATAATCTGGGCCTTGCCAACTTGACTAGATGGGCTGGCCAGCTAGCTGTAGGGATCAGCCTAACGCTGCCCCGTCTCCCAGCACTGGAGTAACACACCCAACCTTTTGCACGTACGCCGGGACTCCGAACTCAGGTTCTCCCCCACCGAGTCCGTCACCTTAGTCCTTTTCCTGTGATATGCACACACCCAGGACCCTCAGATAGCAGGGCAGAAGGAGCAAGCTCAAGGTTTGTGGGTTGGGAGGAAGGTGCCAGGTTGTAGCTGGCACGGACTTTTCAGGTCTGGAGTCTGATCCCAGGGGCCAAACTGAAACCAGTTTGGTGCCATCCCAGCAACTCCCGTGTGAACTGAGCAGGTACAGGAAGAAGGCCGGCTGAGGAGAGGGGTGAAGAGGAGGCCCTTCTGTTCCTTCTCTGCGCAGCTCTCAGCTTTCAAAACCCAGTCAGCCTGAAGGCTAATTTCCAGCAGCTTCCAGCCGTTCAGCTCCATTTGTTGTGCCTGACACCATGAAAGCTTTTGCTATCGATTCCGGGCTAGACTCACTCCTCCCCCTCCCCCCTCCACTCCCCCTGCCCCCTTCTCTCCAGCAGTTTTTGGTCTAGCAATTAGGTATCAGCAGGGACAGTGTGGGGCGGTCACTGCTGCCTTTCAATTACTATTATAGTAAATAAACTCCATCTCCACCAAGGAGTTCCTGCTGCCCAGGCAGGGGCTGGGGTGGGGGAGAGTGGTGGAGCTGTCTCTCCTGTCCTCCAACTGATCAATACCTCCCTCCATCCCAGGGGTTCCCTCAGGGCCACCTGGTCTTGCTAATTGGCTCTGGGGCTGTCTGGCCAGGGAGATGGGTGCAAGTGTCTGTGAGGAAAGGCAGGGAGGAGGAGCCTGTCTGAGGGAGGAGGAGCCTGTCTGAGGGAGGAGGAGCCTGTCTGAGGGAGGAGGAGCCGTCTACAGGGATGAGGGTGGAGAGTCTCTTGCTTTGAAACAATCAAGTTAATAAACAATGATTTGTGATTCCTTCAGATGAAAATTGTCACAAAAGAGCTAGAGAGATGGCTCAGCCGCCGAGAGCACTTATCACTCTTTTAGAGGACTGACGAGTTTGGTTCCCAGCTTCTACATGATGGCTCCCAGGGGGCCTGTAACTCCAGATCCAGATCCTCTTCTGGCCACCTCAGGCACCCACACTCACATGCCCATACCCCCACACAGACACACTTCCACAAAATAAATCTTAAAAGATAAAATTGCCACCAAGTGGAGAGACACTGTGAGGGAGGCAGAGATGTGTCCTCACCCACAGGACACTCTGTTGCTGCTGCCTAGACAAGCAGTGTAAGCCTACATATAGGGTTGCCGGCCTCTTTTTTTTAATCACATATTCAAGTACACAGTCATCTTTTAGGTGATGGGATGGGGCTCAAAGTGTGGCTTTAGCAGTCAGGCAAACCTCATACAAATTCCTGCTTCAGTTTTATGTGGAACAGTGAACTTGGACAGGTCACATGATCTCCCCGAGACTTGTTCCCCGTCTGTAATACAAAAACACCTTGCTGCTTCTCATGTGGACCAAGAGCAGAGTGTTACTATGCACAGGGCATCATTGGCAGGGAGCATGCACCCCTGCCTGATGGCGGTCAGATTGATGGCGGTGATGACGGCGAGGGTGAAGTGTCCAGTGCTGTGGCTGGCATTTGGTCGCTGGTTATTTCCCTTATGGCTACTCTATTGATACTATTATTTTATTTTCACATCGGCTTATGGTAAGGGAGTTCAGCAGTCAGTAGTTGCTCATTAAATATTAAACGCATGAGAAAAGGAGCCAGGCAGAAAATTGCACCTTCATTTAAAAACAGCAAAGCAAGAAGATGAAAGACACATGGAGGACCGTAACTAGCTCTCAGGCCCCACAGAGTCCTCTGTGCAGAAAAGAAAAGGAGGAGATCATGGATATTTAGAGAGGCCTTTTCAAAACAAAGTCCTGGAGTTAGGAAGGGGCTAGCCAGATCTGGAGGCCTCAGAGTTGGGCCCTTAGGGCCACTGCCTACGCACAGTGATCATGGAACCTGGTAAAGGCCACTGTCCTGCTATGGAGTTCTTGTATGTGGATGAAGAGCTTTGTCAGCCATGGGTATCAGCCTCAAGCTCCTCCAGGGTCTCTGGCTGGGCACTTCTCAGAGTCTGATGGCAGTGGCAAGGTCCCGAGGCTCCTGGTGGCTGTTTGAGAAAATACAAAGTCTCAAATCACCAGGAATATTAGCCCATAGGAGCTGGGCTGGATGGAGCCAGTGAGAGTCTCCTAGGAGGAAGGCAAGGAGCCTGGGGATGTAGGAACTGAGGGGCGGGGACAAGCAAGGAGCAGTTCCCATGAGAGCTGCTGTGGCTAGTTATGGTCCTGGGTCTAGAGATCCTGCCTGACGTTGGGTGCCTTCACCAGGAGGGTGTGAGCAGGAGCAGGGTCTCTCCACGGCCTGTTCCGAAGAAAAATAATTTGGATGCTTTTGTCTTTTGCGCTGGACGCCAGGTGCAAAGGTGAGCATTCAGTCTGCTGCTTCTGAGAAAGGGAGTGGAGGGATGGAAAGCTTCAAATCGTTCCCCAGCACCTATGCAGCTTCCTTAACTCCAGTCCTCCCTAGGCTCTGTGCTCCTTAGGCTTGATGCTTCCTCCCTGGGTTGGATGCTTGGCGGGGGGGGGCGCTCTAATGAGGGCACTGTCTGCTCTGAAGATTGAGGTTTGAAGAGTCCATCAAACGTCACACCTTCAATGTCTGAGTGTGGCAGAACGGTCTCCTCCAGCTGGATGAGATCACTGTGCAGTCTAAGTGTCCACGCCTGTGGGAACACCAGACCTTGAACAGAGACCCGCTTCCCCTTCTGCCTGGGAGTAGGCAGCTGTAAGACAATGTTTACTAAAAACATGTTTACTAAAAACGATACAATAAGTTCCTGGAAAAGGCCTTCCCACGAAAACCGCCCTGACCTCGACCTTGTCCAAAGACTAACTGCACCTTCAAAACCCACACACATCCACCTCTGGTGTCAGAGCAGAACCAGCGAGGGGAGAGGAGAGAGCAGAAGCTTCTCTGGTGGGAGCTTTTCTTAGGAGGCTTTTCTTAAACTTTTTTGGAGCCTGTTTAAAGTTTTCTTTATATCGTTAAACGAGTCTCTGTGTTGTCAATCCCCGACACCCTCCGCACGTTCTTGGACACAGGCCGCACAGCAGACGTGACAACTGGAGGTCCCGTGTTCCCACACACGCCACCTTCAGGACCCTCTCAACTGAGTTACTGTCCCCTCAGGTGACTCAGTCCCTCCTAACCGGGGCTGGGGATTCTTCAGAGGCACACCTGCCACTGAGCTGGTCATGCTGATGGTGTGACTGGTGGTCGGATAACTGCCTGGAGCCCCCACACTCCTGTGAGAATGTCCCCCATACTCTCATGACCCATCAAGCAGGTTTTGGGTGGGGTCTTTCTTTGATTGACAGGTGTCCTCTCCATCTAGGGTGAGTAGACATTTCTTTGATCTAGGACAGGAGCTAGCTATGAGTCAAAGTGCTTTCCCAAGATCTGCTGGCTTGCCCAGTGTTTTACTGAGGCCACTTCAAACTGAAGCAAGGCTCAGAAGCCGGGAGCCTGTTCTCTGACTCTCTCCTGGGGAAGCCACTACAGGCGTGTGCAGCTAACAGCCCCAAGGTTCTCTCCGAGCTGCGTGTGTTGGGGGGATGCTGTCAAAAGCAGGGTGCCAGGTCTTCCCACAGGAGAGCTGACGCTCGCTCTATTCCGGGATGAGATGGGCTCCCTAGCTGTTCCTTTCCAGCACAGGTGACATTATGTGAGCCTTTTAATCGGCAATATTAGCTGCTTTGTTTAGTATCCAGCCTGTGCCTACACTGCAGCCTTTCACCTGAAGCAGCAGTAGCAACACTAGAAAAGGATTTTTAAAAATCAAAATGTAATTGCCTACTGAATCAGGTAAGATTGCATCCGGATGTAGGGATGAGAAACCCAACAAACAGGGCTATTTTTTGCAGTGAGCATGGAGTCAAGAATTAAGCAGTTCAGGTGCGGCAGGAAGGAGTTGTCAGAGTGTATGTTCTGTTTTTTTTTTTTTTTTTTTTTTTTGGTTTTTCAAGACAGGGTTTCTCTGTGTAGCTTTGTAGACCAGGCTGGCCTTGAACTTACAGAGATCCACCTGCCTTTGCCTCTGCCTCTGCCTCTCTGCCTCTCTGCCTCTCTGCCTCTCTGCCTCTCTGCCTCTCTGCCTCTCTGCCTCTCTGCCTCTCTGCCTCTCTGCCTCTCTGCCTCTCTGCCTCTCTGCCTCTCTGCCTCTCTGCCTCTCTGCCTCTCTGCCTCTCTGCCTCTCTGCCTCTGCCGGGATTAAAGGCAAGTGCTACCACTGCCCAGCTCAGAGTACATGCTCTTTCTGCTCTCCCACCCCGGGCGTATGATTTCATCTTCTTGATCACAAGATAGCTGCTGTACTGCTAGACATTACATCTACATCCTTGGTCAGAAGAAGCAGGAGTATGGGAGCAGTGCGGTTGTCAAGCTAACTGGATCTGGAATCAATTAAGAGATACGCTCTGGGAGGGCGTACTAGGGGGTTATTTCTCAAAAGGAGAACTGACCAGGGGAAGACCCTGTCGAAGAGCACTGAAGGATTGGCCCACCGAGGCAGGCAGGCATCTGGGTTGTCAAGCCTCTTCAGAGCGTAGACAGTCATTGTTGGATGACCCAGTCTGAATTGCCTAATCTAATGAGGCCCCTTTGTAACATATATTCACCTATAGGTTCTGCTCCTCTAGATAACCCCGACTACTCACACCTTGAAGGCCACACAGAGTCTCAGGTCCACATTGGGCTGTGACAGAGGCTGGAACTGGGCTGGTCTGAAAGAAAAAGAGAGAAAAGAATCGACACCATGGGAATGTCCTCCTACCTCACCCTTCAGGGTTGCAGAGTGTGACCGTTAGTTAACACCTGGTATCGCAGGCCTTTAGGGAAAGCTGTTTTCAGAAAATATTCTGATGAGACCCAGAGAGCATGACGGGTCTGTGACTACAAGATAGCTCAACTACCAGCCTGAATGAACACGACAGTGAAGGTGTGGAGAGCGAAGGGGGCAGGGAGGGAGAGGGAAGGAGGGAAAGGCAGGGAGGAGTCCAACTGAGAAGGGGAGGGAGAAACAAGGAAGATGCCATTGGTGGCTGAGCAAACTTTCAAGATCACAGAATCCTGGGCTCAGCAGCTAAGACCACACTCTGCTCTTACAGAGGACCCGAGTTCAATTCCCAGGCCCCATGCCTGTCAGCTCTCCGCCACCTGTAACTCCAGTTCTAGGAGATCCATCACCCTCTTCTGCCTCTGCAGGCACTGGCACATGTGCAGAGGTAGGTGGAGCTCTGTGAGTTTGAGGCCAGCCTGGACTGCAGAGAAAGTTCCAGGACAACCAGAGTTACACAGAGAAACCCTGTCTCAAATAAATAAATAAATAAATAAATAAATAAATAAATAAATAAATCAAAACCAACAAACAAACAAGCAAAAAAGAATGTAGAATTTTTCATCTCCAGCTCCAAGTCACTCAATAAAGACCTTCCTGCCATCTCCTGTCCCTCTCTAGACCTTTGGTCCCTTCTGTTAGATCAACAAACACTTGTAAACCTTCTGGGAGGCTTGGGTTGGGGGAAGGAATGAGGTTCAGGTGAGGGAGTGGCTCAGAGGGGGAGATGGGACCAGATGGAGGGATTAGAAGTGAGAGGGGCAGCCAGGGCGGTGGTGGCACACACCTTTAATCCCAGCACTCGGGAGGCAGATGGATCTCTGTGAGTTTGAGACTAGCCTGGTCTACAAGAGCAAGTCCCAGGACTCCAGGACAGCCTCCAAAGCCACAGAGAAACCCTGTCTGGAAAAACCAAAAAAAAAAAAAAAAAAAAAAAAAAAGAAGTGAGAGAGGCTATGGAGGTGGTTCAGCTATAAAATGACTGTGCAAGTATGGGGATCTGCCCTGGTCCCCCATACCACATGCAAAGCCCAGTGTGGTGATGAACACCTGTGATCTCGGAGCTGGGGAGGCAGAGATGGTTGGGGGCTTGCTGGCTTACTTGGTGACTGTCAGGTTCAGCAAGAGACTGTCTCAAAAAAAAATTGACAATACCTGAGGAAAAACACAGGAAGCTGATCTCTGGCCTCTACATGCGTGTCTGTCAATTCTGACATACACAAAAATATATACACATTCATATACCTCTTCCCATGCAAATGTGGCCTGCAAAGTGACCAGGACTTTGTAGCAATCTTGGGGAGGGTATAGGCTTCCCAACGGCAGGATGGGGGTGTATCAGTCACTCAGTACTGCGTGACGACCATCCCCACACATAGACGTTAAAACATGTATTCTGCCTTCAGCCTGGAGGTGACATTGACTGTCTTTGAGAAAGTTGGGATTGAGCACGGGACAGCTTTCTGGTTGCTCTCAAGGTAGGGTGTTTGTTGTTTTCTTTTTCTCTTTTCACTTTGCACAGAAGGATTATGAAGTCACCCTGAATTCCCGGAACATCAGACCCAAACAGAAGAACAAAAACAAATTCTGGAGCCAAATATAAATGCGTTTTTAATTATCTGCACCGCTGCTCCCTCCCATTAGTGTGGGAAATGAAGGGTTGAGTGTTTAGCACTTACAGTGATAATCCGGGCACAAGACTTTCAAAACAACTCATTGATCCCCGCGTCCGATGTATATGAGCCTGCTTCTGGAGGCTTGGGCTAGCTGGGTGGCTTCCTTGTTTGGGATGGAATAAATGGGGGAAGATCAGAGGATGACTGGCTGAGACCGGTTGTCTGGGTGTTTTCCCAGCTAAAGGATGAACTAACTGAGACCTGTGGGGCAGCTGTGGAAGCCCTGATTGGAATGAAGCGCTTCTGGTGGATTTCTGACTACTTCCTCACTGGGCCACCTGGAGGAAAGCTCTTCGCCGCTCTGTGCTTTCGTCTCCCCAACTGCAAAATGGGACACCATCTCTTTTCTTGCAGGGATTATAAAGGCATGGCATGGGCCAGGCTGCTTTATCATGGCTGTTGCTCTGTTTTCCTCCTCTCCTTCCTCCCTCGCTTCCTTCTCTCCCTCCTCTTCTTCCTCCTCCACCCCTCTCCCTCCTCTGTCCTCCTCTTCCCCTCCTCCTTTTCCTCTTCCTCTCCTTCCTTCTCTCCCTCCCCCTTTCCTTCTTCCTCCTCCCCACCCTTTTCCTCTCCCTCCTCCATACTCCCTTTTTTCTTCCTTTTAACAATGATTTTTCCTTCATGGGCCCTAGGCATCTGCTTAATAGACACATTTAATCTTTCTTGCTTTGCCTACTAGGAAGCTCAAACCCAGTCAGCAGCCCAACCCAAGCAAACTGACATCTGGCATGTAAAACAGACAGACAGACAGACAGCATTCTGCTCTCGTCCTCACCTTCACTGTGTCCCCATTCTGCTCTATTCACTCTCTCTAGTTACACATTTGAAACTTGCCTCGAGCTTTTCTGCGTACATGGTGGAACAAGACGGGGGTATAAAAACACATCAACAGGATCAATAGAACCAGAGTCTGGGGATGGATTTAAAAATAGAACCTTCTGCCTGTGGCTCTGCGGAGGTGGTGGACTGTGTGGGGGAGGCTGCTGGATGGTTTTTCCTGTAAGGGTAGTTGTTTCCTGGCTTTACTGCCAGGACACTCTGGGTTCTGGTCCTAGCTTTAGCAAACCGGCCAGAGCCAGAGGGCATGCAAGGAAGGCTGCCTCAAGGACACATTCGGGATGGGTCGGTGCATTATGGATGCAGGCCAAGTGGTCCAGAGGCTGGGAGCCAGGACCTGCCTGGTGGGTTGCATGTTCTCTGCTCTCCTCATTAGCTTCAGATGGTTTGACAGAGGCCAGAGCCCCACTTTTAGCTGGGGCTGCTATTAGGGATGACCCTTTGAGCGTGAGTTTATGGACTCAGCTGTCAATCAAATGCATGAGGATGGAGCTGCCCCGCCTTGATACCCACTGCACCATGCATTCACGTGCCAAGGAGCTGCCTTGAGCAAAGGTCAGGCTGGGCATCCTTCCCACTCATGGCCATCAGCAGTTCCTGGGCACCATGACTTTCGTGGTGCTGGGGACATGGTACAGAGATCAAGAGCCCAGAGACTAGAATCCAAGTTGTGTTTTGTCATTTATCATGTCTATGCCCCCAAGCAGGTTCTCTAACTTCTAGGCCTCAGTTTCCCTTTTGGGAATGGAATGATGGTTTCAATGACCTCACTAGGTCTTTTTGAGTCCTAGGGCATTAACTTCAATGAAATGTTAAAAAAAGCCTCCGAGGTGGACAGGGAAGGACCTACATTTGATCCCAGACCTCGTATGACAAAAGCTGGGTGTGGTGGTGAGCATTTACAATCTCAAAACTAGGGAGGGGCAGACAGGTAGATCCCTGGGACTTGGCGGCCAGCCACCCCAGCTTAATCGGTGGCATCAGGCCAGTGAGAACCTCTGTCGCAAAGAATAAAAAGACTAAGGTATGCCAGGTGGTGGTGCCCCATGCCTTTAATCCCAGCACTTGGGCGACAGAGGCAGGTGGATCTCTGTGAGTCTGAGGCCAGCCTGGTTTACAGAGAGAGTTCCAGAACAGGCTCTAAAGCTACAGAGAAACCCCGTCTCAACCCCCTACCCCTCAAAAAAGACTAAGGTATCTGAGGAATAATAGCTGGGGTTGTCCTCTGGACTCCACATACACATAACACACATGTATGCACACCTACACATATATGAACTCCCCTCCCTGAAAAGCACCTGTGATGCTGCCCCAGGCAAGCACTCCCCACCCAGTGTCCCCCTGGCCTTCCTTGGTTGCCCCCCCACCCCGTGAGGATGGGTAGGGCCCACCCTTCTTGGCTTCTCTTGTAAACTCTTGACTTTTGCTTTTGATCTAGACCTTCCCCCCAACCCCCCGCACCTCTACCCCTCTACTCCCTGGGCTGAGGGTGAGTTGGGGATGCCTCTGCCAGTATGACACTCAGCCCAGGACCTGGTATAGAGAAAGTGCCAGGGAAGGGACAGAGGATTCCACGGCACAACATAGCATGACAGGGCACTATAAAGACAATTCTGTCACAATGAGGGTACCATGGGCATGATCTGGCTCAAGCGGTCTGCCTGAAGTACCCCAGAGGTGCAGACTGGAGTGTCTTCCTCCCTGGAGTGTCTCCCTCCTCACAGAGAGGCACAGGCAGAACTCATGCTTGCCTGCTCTTACTCCAGCGGGAATAAATCCAAACCAATTGTTCTTGGGGGTCCCCCAGGCAAGCAAACGACATCTGTGGTGCAGAACTCTCAGGGGCTCTGTGGTAAATGCCAGGTTCCAGGGCTGGGGCTCAGGGCTCACATGCATCCCCCGCCCCCCGATTGGGCTTCCTTTCCTCTTCTGAGATGTGGGGTTGGTCATAACCCTGAGTCCTAGGAGTCCCCTAAGGTTTAAAGAGTGGGTATTTGCGAAGCTCTGGCATTGCTCCTGATGCAGAAGCAATCGCCGAAGCAAGCGGTGGCTTCCGAAGGGACTGAAACTCTGCCAATGAGGGCTTTTCCGCGCTCTCGGTGCTGAGATGTGACCTGCTCACTGGGATGCTGTGGGAGAGAGCTGCTGAGCTCAGGCTCTCTCAGTGACATCCTCACACCTGTCCCGTCCCACTGTGTGTGTGTGTGTGTGTGTGTGTGTGTGTGTGTGTGTGTGTGGTGGGGGTTGGAAGTTGAGACTGGGTGTCTTCTGTCACTGTCTACTTTATATCTTGAGACAAAGCCTTTCACTGAAGTGGAGCTCAGTGCCTGACTTCCTGTCAAGATCCAGGGAGCCCCTTCCTGTATCTGCCTCCCTGGTGCTGGGTCCAGGGAGCCCCCTCCTGAATCTGCCTCCCTAGTGCTGGGCTTGCAGGCTTGTACCAGCATGCTCAGGTTTTATGTGGCTTCTGGGGATTTGAACTTTTGTCCTCATGCTTGCGCAGCAAGCTCCTTATCGACTGAGCCAGCTCACTACCCCCAGCCTTTTTTATTTTCTACTTTTGGACTAGTTCTTGCTCTATAGCCCACGCTGGTCTCCGATGTGTGCCTCAGTCTCCCCAGTTCTGGGATGACAGGTGGATGCCACCACACCTGGCTGAGGTGTTTCCTATTCAGGTGTTGGCTCTTTTTTCTAGGCTGTGATACCCCACCCTCCCCAGGAGACTCGGCAGTGCCAGCTGAGGGCATGAGCAGATAATTTTTAATGAATACTCACATGCCCAAATGCCCCTCGCTTTACATGTGCAGTCATAGCAGATATTTACTCTGCAATGACAAAAATGAGGCCCAGAGAGACTTTTGAAATGATTTGGTCACACAGCTTGGAAATGATGTGTTTCGGGGATGGAGTCAAGATGGTACTTGCTGACCCAGGGCCCACCGATGGGCTCAACACTCAGCAGGCCTTGTGGGGAGTAGGAAGATTCAGTGTGTTGACCCTGATGCTAGAAAGAGAAGGGATCATGGGCTCTACAGTTTTACGGTCTAGGATGTATATTGGCCTTGAGATTCTCCCACAATCCCATGGGCACTACATTCTGAAGGATGTAGTGACAACCATCCTAGAGGCTTGCTTCTGAGCTATCTCCACTTTCTTCTGGCAGCAGACATCTGGTCCTATCCAGTGCTGGGTGACAGGAAGTGGGAGGGTCCTGTCCAGAGACCACCCTGCAGAGTAGCTCTGCCCCTTGCTAACCGTAACATTTGTCTGGAGCTCAGCCCATTGTACCTGAACTGCAGCTGCTCTCCCGTAAGCTCTAGATCAAGGTTGAAGAGTTGCAGAGAGCTGGTGGTGCATGTCAGCACTTGTAAGGTGTGTACAGGATGATCAGGAATTCAAGCCTCAGCCACATTGTGGATTCTAGGCCAGCCAGGGCTACATAAGACCCTACCTCAAAAAATAAAAAATAAAAAACAAGCACAAGAGAACTTTGGAGCCACCATGCTTTTCTGAGCAGTGACTTAACTCTCAACAATGTCACCTCTGGGCTTCTGAGGAAAAACAATAGAAAGTACTGGGCACAGTGGTGCAAGCCTATAATCCCAGAACTCAGTAAGCCGAGACAGGGGGAATTTCACAAGTTCAAGGCCAGCCTGCAACGTGAAGAGACCCTGCCTCAAAACAAACTAACAAACAGCAACAACAAAACAAAAAGCCAAGCCCTGATGGGAGTGGCGGTGTCCTGGTGTGTATAAGAGGGCTTCCTGTGGACATAGACTCCTGACCGTACCAGTCCCTCACTGGACAGGAGAGAAGTGCCGTTGGGCCATTCTGGTAAGCCCCTGGTGTGGCAGTGGCCCCTTTGCACCCGTGAGGTAGTGGTTCCCTCTGATTGATGGGGTGAGAATGGTGGGTAAGGGTGGGGGTGAGGGCCATAGGCACATGGCTGCATCTGGCTTACAGAAGACAAGAATTTGGATTGAATTGGACAAGGTTAGATGTCAAATCTGGAAAGAAGGAACGGCAAAAACATAAGGACTTGGTTGGATGTAGATTTTAGTGTTTGCACAGCTTGGCCTCCAAGCCAGCATCAGCATCAATTGGGAACAGGCTGGGCATGCAGGGGCCTACCCTGCTCCACACCTGCTCATCAGAAGCCTTGAAGGTGTGGTTAGTCAGATTCCCGAGGTGTTGTCAGAGAATGGGCTGTTCAAGACCTGGACAGTGATGAGTGGGTGAGGAGTCCATGTCCCTCAGCAAATCACCTGGCCTCTGTGGGATACAGAAGAAGGGACAGGAGCTCAGATAGCT